CAGGATCATTTAAATAAATGACGTGTCATACCATTCTTTACAGGGACATTATGAACTTTCAGCTGAAAGTGCAGGTTGCTGCAAGATTTCCATATTTTTACAGCTGTGCCTTCCAAATATTCTGTTTGAAATGTCAATTTTGGTGATTGCCAATTCCCATAAAAGCGAGACGGACTGTGAAATAACTTCAGAAGAGCCCTGTTCTCTTCACCGTGATCTTTCCTCCACCAGTTCTTTTTCATTATGAACTTACCTCTGCTAGCCCTTTTGCTAGCCGTTCGCGTCATCGCTTTTCCGGAGCCACCACTCCGAGGAGTCAGTGGACTACTTGACGATCCAGACCCTGTTTTGAAGCTGAAGGATGCAAACACAACTAGCAATAAGGTAATATGGAAAAATTATTTTGGAGCTGATTTTGCCTCGATTTTTTTTGTACCAGGCTCTTGATATTGCTACCATAGTGAAAATCTGGAAAAGGTTCCATGACCTCAGAGGAAAGATTTTGAGGAGCCTCACGTTGTCTCCAAAACAGCGAACAGCATTTTCAAAGAAGCTAAAGGTAATCCCTCTATGAAGCATACAACCTCATAGACGGTAAAATTATGTTCAAGACGTGGGAGAGACTAGCTGGAGAGCACACGAATTCTGCTGGAAATTCTATAGATGAAATCAACAAAAAGAGCGGCATTGGGCGTATTCTCTTTCAAGGCGACGTCTTACTTACAAAGTTTGTATTCGGTCAATTCAGTAGTAAGCTGCTTTGTTTGAAATCGTTTGATCTAGGGCTCAAGCCGAACGAATCGCTGACGACATAGAAGACGATGGCAGTACCCGCATGAAGCGCCAGGCATTCCGTGACAAGTATTACCCCCAAACCATATGGTCGAAAGGAGTATACTACTACTTCGATCCCAGTACAAGTTGGTAAAATTCACTTTGATTCCCTCTGGTCTTCAGCAGAGCATTCTAAGAGCAGCAAGAGCAGAAATCTATAACTTAATAAATTTTAAGCTTTCTGAGGGTACTGCATAATTTATTTACAATACCCATAACCTTTAAACTTGACAAAATTGCTAGCGGTGCTAATAGTTAACGCACCTGCGCCCATAGAAACATTACTTAAAGTGGTAAAGTTGAGTAAGATGAAGTATGCCCTCTTAAATTGAGGAAGAGAAAACGTTCATAGTTCCCAGGAGTCTCAAAGGCCTTTTCCGGGCTCTGAAATTAGAGTTCCTCGAATAATTTTATTAATTCAATCCAAATTCCAGATTCACAGGCAAGAAGTGTCTTTAAAAAAGCAGTGAAAGCATGGGCAAAGGACACCTGCATTGACTTCCATCAGAGTGCATATCGTACGTTCCTTGGCATAATGTCGTCATAGATATTACGCCCAAATAGTAATAGTAATAGTAACACATTTTTAGATCCTGACAGAATCCGAGTTCACAAAGGAGATGGATGTTGGTCACAGTTGGGAAAAGTTGGAGGACAACAAGATCTCTCGCTTGGCGACAATTGTGAAACGGTACATATGAGCGGGGGTCGGGAGTCCCGAACGGCATGCCGCGCGGCGAGGCAACTAGCTAGAAATCGCCGCAGGTTGTGAGCCAGTCGGGGCCAAATAGGAAGGAGCTGTAAGTCAATAAAAGTTTACAATTTCAGGTGGGAATTGCTGCACACGAAATAGGCCATTCTCTGGGTCTGTTCCATATGCATGCGCGATACGATCGGGATAACTTTATCACTGTCAACGCGGAGAACATAGATGTAAGAAATATCAAAAAAATATGAAATATAAAAGCGATACAGCATGTGGAAGGCAGATTTTAGCCTGATTGGATTGAGCAGTACGCGAAGGAAACTAGGCTTACCAATGATAACTACGGCATAACATATGACTATGGTGGTATCATGCAATATGATGTCATGAGGTTTACTTATTATTATCAATAGATTTCAAGAAAGTGAGTCGACTTCGTAACGACAACAGTGTTTCCAGTTCGAGCCGAAATGGAAAACCCACTATGCTGCCACATGACATGGGATATGTTGAAACCCTCGGATCGGGGATCATCTCTTTCTACGAACTGCTCATGATCAACAAGCATTACGGATGCCTGGGTAAGTTCAATATTAACTGGTACTCTCCTGTTTCAGAACTGTCGTTATCCAAAGCTCATTTCCAGCAAAATGCTCTGGAAAGCCTAATTTATGTATGAATGGAGGTTTCCCTAACCCAAGAAATTGTTCAAAATGTGTTTGTCCCAGTGGATACGGTGGAGAGCATTGTAACCAAAAAGTAAGAAGTCAGAACAGTCTCGAACATGGGAATGCCCAGGGATTCAGTTACATCGATTTACAGCCATCTGGATGTGGTACGGTGCTGCAGGCTTCCAGGACACCCAAGACATTCACTGATACGATTGGCAGCAACCGTATGGCTGAAAGAGAAGATTACAAGTTTTGTTACTACTGGATCGAGGTCTGTTGAAGCCAGCTTAGCTGCAGCTTTCGAAATGCTTACAAACACATTCTGAAAACCAGAGGTAGCCGAATTTGTAGACGGGGGACACGATGAGTGCATGACTTGGATCGGTGGGCCCCCTTAATGGTGGATGTCAATTCTTCAGTAGAGAAACACCCCCAAGACGGAGAGAACTTACCGCTGAACTAGTGATGTCTAGGGGATTCCCTACCTATCTGCCTCGCCGTGGGCAAATTTAGAGAGTAAGATCAACCAAGCTATCACTGACATGTCATGAATAGCGGAAGTTTCTTGCCAGTCATGGCATGCCAACTTGTTTCCTATTAAGAAAAAGAAGAAAAGAAAAGGGTCGGTGCAATCATGGGGCTCTTTGCTTCCTTCGTACGACTGCAGGGGTGCAACTCTCACTTCACTCATAACAAACCAGCAGGCGTTATAGGGTGCCATCCATTACTCAGAGCTGAAGCATAAGTAACACATCAATCGATATCCCATGATCGGCTGTAGTTACAGAAACAAAATATACATAATATGATGTGATTTCTATTTGCTCATTCGCAGCTATACCTACTTCAGTCACGGATCAAAAACGAGGGCTAACCATTCAGCGGAATTTGTTTATTTCCACAATGGGATTCTTCAATGGTTACTAAACGTGTTTCAAAAAAAAATTGGTCCTCGGTGTGCAAGTGAAAGGCATTGGACAGAATCTGTTTTTTTTCAACGTGAAAAAAAAAGATTCTGCTAAATGATTTCCACTTCCACATCGAACACCAATTTCTTTCAAAACATATTTGATAATCTTTTGTGGTTTACCTGGAAGTTAGGACAAAGCTCTGTAGAGATACCACCAAAGGGGGGTAATGATCAGTAAGAAACCTACCCCAGGTGATAGAGATGGGAAGGTCGTATCAGGCGTTACTCGGGAGTAAGCCCTTACAATTGGAATGAT